TACGCAGAGCAGCGTCCCCACAAACGGTCGCGGACTGAGTGACCAATTTATTATTATTTTTTGTGATGGAATTATTACCCCCACGGAAAAGCGATCCGCCAATCGACTTACTGCTCGGTAAACAGAGGCGTGTGGAGTAAGGAAACTTGCCCAACGTTTCACCCCGACTGGGAATAGAACCCCCCCCCCACCCACCCCCCCCACCCCGTTCCTCGCTTGCGAGGAGAGGGTTCCAACTCACTTGGCACGAGGTGCAGGGAGCGTGGCTGAAACAATGATTATTTAGCACGGTCAAAGGAAAGAAACCTATCACGCCGTTACTGCCAAGGTTTTATATATGAAAAGATAATATTGTTATAAGCTGATAATACGTGCAAACAACTGTGGAAAGAACAGGAGCCAATCGCACACAGAATTGGGAGCGGAGGTGGGGGGCTTTAGGGTCAAATCAAGTGATAGGCGATCAGAGGATCACTGTTGCTTCACAGCATTTATGGTAATATTTATTGTACTGCTGAGCAGGGCTGTTTTTCCATTGATTCAGAGAATTGAATGTGATCATTTGATCACCCTTCATTTTTTTTGTAAACCCTATCAAAGGATCGGAATAGCCACTTGACTGAACGAAAAAGCAGGCCCCAAGGGTAGGAAACACAAGCACGCACTGGGAAACCTTAAACCTCACTCAAATACCCCCATTGCTACGTATGCTCCACAGTCTCCATCTGGGAGACGTTTGGGACATATTAAAGGGTTGGGGGACATTAAAGGGTTGGGAGACATTAAGGGGTTGGGAGACATTAAGGGGTTGGGAGATATTAAGGGGTTGGGAGATATTAAAGGGTTGGGAGATATTAAAGGGTTGGGAGATATTAAAGGGTTGCTCGCTCACTATTTTGAAGCATTTTCTGGGCCAATATATACTTTCTCTTCCTCCTCCTCCTCCTCCAGATAAGAAAGATATAAACTCTACAAAAATAATGGATTTCACATAAAGTTAGTGGGGGAAGATAGTGGATGGGAAATGGCAATGGATCATATACAGAACAGCGAAAGGAAAGGTGCCTTATTGGTACTGGGGTTCAGAACACCTTAAAGTTATGTGTTCAACACTCGTTTTATTACTCTTTCACTCATTTATGTAAAAGTCAATGAAAATTCCTACCAACTAGAAGAGATATACAGTAGATCAATCATATCGTGGCAGTTGTAAAGGGAGCGCTTTCTCTTTTTCTATTGCTTCCAAACATTTTTTTTGGGGGGTGGGGGGGGATTTGCTTTGTTAAAAATATTGATGCATAAAATAACGTTGTAATCAATGAATTTGCTCTGTGCCATGTTTTGAACGAGTTTACAACTTTTTAATGAATTTGTGGGAAATCGCCACAAATATAACGCTGGACATTAAAGAGAGGGTTAAGCTTAGCCGCCCGAAAAAAAAGATTGAATGCAACATTAGGATCGATAGGGGTTTTGGGAGCAGAGGGAAATGATAATTATAATAATAATCCTTGCATTTGATATAGCGCTTTTCACGCCTTCTGGATACAATGCGGTCTTCCGATATCACCGGAGGTCTAACGTTAGGAGACTCGAATTATTCCTGCAGAGCAAAGAAACACAAAGTTTCCTTCCGACGGGATCCGAAAACCCTTTTAAATGCGAAAACCTTTGAAGTATCGGATTTGATTTTGGTGGGTGGTGGGGGGTAGGTTGCAATTCTCACCTTGGTTGACCTCTTGAGCAGCCAAACTAGTGTGTGTGTGTGTCTGGGGGTGGGGAGAGAGAGAGAGAGAGTTAATACCAGGGCTTGTGTCTGCAATGTGTGAGGTGGTCTCTATAGTTTGTGTGTTCCTTCCTGCACTAATCTGACTCCTTTAGAGCACACGGCAATGCTGGTGAGATACTGGGCTCCACATTCACTGGTTAAGTGGCTGTCTCTGCATCTCCCACTTCCTTGCAGCTGATCACTGGCTCTTAAACCCTCACCCCATCCAAAAAAAAACAGATTAGGCTCTTTCTCTCTCTCTCTCTCTCTCTCCTTCCCTCCCTCCCTCGTTACTGCAGGCATTCACCTCCCCCCCCCCACTCCCACCCATCCCGGAGCCAAGATCAGGTAACAAAACTGACATCCAATATAATTACTATCACCATCGGCGCCACTCGCCTAAACCTCACAGACCCATTTCTACATGTTTTCAACACAAAAAAAGAGGTTTGAGAGCTTCCCACAGGCAGCCCCCCCCCCACCCTCCAAAAAAAAAGCCCTTCTACTTGTAATGAATGAAATGAATGAATGAAATGAATGAATAGACAGACATCTCTCTCTCTCTCTCTTTCCATCCATCCATCCATCCATCCAACAATCCTGGATTCCTCTACATCCCTTACATGGGGGTTTGACAATTAATTTGACCAAAAAACGATGGGGAGGAGAAGGGTAAAGCGACAACAAAGTACTGACACATTGCAATTAAATACTCATTACTTTTTGGCTCCATTCGCTCTGACTCCCATTCTTCTCCCCCTCCCACCTCACCTTGTGCAACTTAACCCTTCGCCTCTCCAACCCTCCACCACTTCATTCATCCTTTGAGCCACGAAGACGGTTCGGTGTTCTATACGACTGATGATAAAAATCCTTTGGAATAATGTATTTCCCATTGTGTGTGTGTGTTTTTTTTATTATTATTGTATATATGTATATATATATCATGCATAAAAATGCAACCACATATCAATTCGTTCAATGTAAGACAAACACACAGGGGAAAATGCTCTTATCAATGAAGCTGGAAATGCTATTTGCTTTAAGATTAAGTACCAGGGTGATCAAAAAAAAGTCATCTTATCTCATATCTTGTTATCTCACAGTGAAACAAACACCCCTAAAATCTCATCATTTCTCTAAGACGTATTAGAATGGACATTGTAATGGTATCACGACTTTCTGGTCACCTTGTAGATTAAATACAACTAATAATAATACTATTAATACGAGTAATAATCATTGCAATTGCTAGAGTGCCTTATCGCGTCTTCGAGACGTCTCGCAGCGCTTCACATGATACATTGCAAAGTAAGATTTGCGAGGGCACCCGTTTTTTTGTTTTTGCAACACAAAATTCACAGGCAAATTGCTGATCGGTCAATTTGTGATACTGAAGGGCTGTGGAGAGAGATTTTTTTTATTCCCAATCAAGTGCCTCACCCCCCCCACCCCCCACCCCCCCATCAATGATGCATGTCACTATAACGATGGCAGTGCTGGTAATAGTAATGATAATAATATTAATATTAATAATAAATCCAGCAAGGAAGCCTTACTTAATTAATCTGTTTAGTTGTGGATAGAGGGATGATACGTGGGGGGTAGAAGGGGAATGGATGAATGAATGCAAGATGTCCAGAGAGAATTATCATCAGGGTTGTTGGAAAACGTAAGCAAGATGATTTTTTTTTGGGGGGGGTGGAGGGGGTTAAAAAAAATTAAGGATTAAAAAATCAGAATTCAATTTTTTTTTGGGGGGAGTGAGAATAAAACTCGTTTAAAAGGGGGTTTGATTTATCTGGAGAGACAGGATTCCTCCTTCCACCCTCTCTCTTTCCCCCTCTACCCCTCCACTGGGAAAAAGGGAACAGAGGGCAAAACTCATCCCATCTGATCTTCCTCCTTCCCAATGCAGGGAGTGGAGGGTGAGTGTGTGTCAGTGTTTCCCAATCTCTTTAGCTCTCTGTGCACCACTGAACACAACCCACCAGCCCACACCAAAGCCTTGCACACCACACACAGCCAAGCCAGTGTGTGTGTGTGTGTGTCTAACACCCAACCACACACACACACATATCTCTTCCCTAACACAGTGACAATCTTCCCCATCCCACCACCCCCCCAATGATGGGGATTCCATCCCAAATCACCCTCTGTGAACTGGACTCTCTCTCTCTCTGCCACACATTCACACACACATATGTATATATATACACACACACACATACAAGGTATATCTATTTATATGCACAGTTCAAAGCCATCTGAGAGAGAGAGAGAGAGAGAGAGACTGATGATTGCTGGAGGTCTGACTTCCTATCCATTGCCCTCCTTTGCTCCCATTTGCAATGACCTGACACTGGAGAGGGAGAGAGAAAAGCCAACTCAAAGGCTCTCTCACTCCCTCAGTCACTCTCAATCTCACTCACTCAGTCACTCTCTCTCAGTCACTCTCTCTCTCTCTCTCTCTCATTGCACTGGAGCTGTGTGTCTGCAAGCTCTCTCTCTCTCTCTCTCCTCTACACACACAAACCTGTGGTGTAGTTATATTCCAGCTCTACTTAACACAGCACAGTACAGAGGCTGTTTGTTGTCTGCCTATTGGGCTCAGATAGCTCTTTTTCTCTCTCTCTCTCTCTCTCTCTCTCCCCCACCCCTTTCTATCTCACTCAATCTCTCTCTTTTACTCAATATCTCTCTTTCACTCCATAGTTCTCTCGCACTCAATATCTCTCCCTCTCTCTCACTCAATATCTCTCTCTTACTGAATCTCTCTCTCACTCAATATCTCACTCAATATCTCTCTCTCACTCAATATCTCACTCAATATCTCTCTCTTACTCAATATCTCACTCAATATCTCTTTCTCACTCAATATCCACTCAATATCTCACTCAATATCTCACTCAATATCTCACTCAATATCTCACTCAATATCTCACTCAATATCTCACTCAATATCTCACTCAATATCTCCCTCTCACTCAATATCTCACTCAACATCTCTCTCCCTTACTCAACGTCTCACTCAATATCTCTTTCTCACTCCATACCCACTCCAATATCTCTCTCTCACTCAATCTCTCTCTCTCACTCAATCTCTCTCTCTCTCTCTCACTCAATCTCTCTCTCTCACTCAATCTCTCTCTCTCTCTCACTCAACATCTCACTCAATCTCTCTCTCTCACTCAATCTCTCTCTCTCTCTCTGAGTTATCTCCTTCTCTTACCTTTATTCCCTCTCAGTCCCCCGATGGCAGTCAGGATGGACAGCAGCAACATTGGTAGGAGGCGTCCCAGTCTTACTCCACTTTGCCCCATGGTGTTCTTGTTGGTGTTGGTGCTGATGGTGTGTCTGTGGTTTCTTTTGGTGGTGGTGGTGGTGATGGATGGGGTTATTTTTTCTTCTTCTCGTCGACAAGGAAAAAGCCAGGGAAGGGGGGGGGGGGGGGAAAGAGGGGAAAAACCTTGTCTCTTGTGTCTTGTCTCTCCCTTTAAATGCCCTGTGTGGAGAGCTGATCAATACGATGGGGAAAAAAAAAGGAACTTGAAACACTACATACGTTCAAGTCCTAAACACATCTGCACATCTGTGTGTTTTTTTTTGGGGGGGGGTTTGGAGGTGGAGAAAAAGCTTCTCAAAAGGGGGATCTGGTTCCAGGTTCTTCCTTTCGCGATGGATGGATGGATGGACGCAAAGCCTCTTTAGGATGAGCGAATGCCACAGCCCTTTAAACTCTGGTTGTTTTCTTCCCCTTCATCCAAATGCAAAGAGGACTTAAAAATAAGAGGGATTGTCCTCTACCCCCACCCTCCCCACCCACCCCCACACCCACCCACACACACACACACACACACACACTCCCCTCCCTTTCCTCCCCTTCTCTCCCAAGAAAAAAAAGTTTGCTTTCTGTCCTTTTTTCTTTTCTTTTTCTTTTTCTTTTTCTTTTCTTTTCTTCCTCCTCCTCCTTCTTCTTCTTCTTCTTCTTCTTCTTCTTCTTCTTCTTCTTCTTCTTCTTCTTCTTCTTCTTCTTCTTCTGCTGCTGCTTCTCAATGCTCTGGATGGCAGGAGAGGGGTGTCAAGTGTGTGGAGATCTGTTGCAAAGGTCCATGATCTGAGCTGCCAACCAACTCTTCCTCCACAAGGAGATGATGATGATGATGATGATGGGGAGGGGGTGGTGGAGGAGGTGTTTGATTCAGAGCATCTTATTCTAACAGCTTTTACTGCAACTCTGATCTTCTTCACTCCAGATGTGTGTGTGTGTGTGTCTCTCTCTGTGTGTGTGTGTGTCTCTCTGTGTGTGTGTGTGTGTGTGTGACTGTGAATGAGAGAGAGAGAGAGAGATAAAGAGAAAGAGAGGTGCAAACACTTAGAGGGAAGAGAATGAGAGAGAGAAAGAGAGAAAGCACAAGAGGGAGAGAGAGAGAGAGAGAGCTCTGGTCTTAGACACACTTAACCATCCAATGATGCTGAGGATTTTCCTGCCTTGGTCCCACTGGTAGAGAATGAAAACCTGGGACGGAATCCAACAGGAGCTGGAGCCGATGAGTTGTTTTTTAAACAAATACCTGTAGGGAGGTTTTTTCTGGTCCCCCCCCCACTAAACCGCTCTGCCCAAAGAGCCCCCAACCATCCCCAACGACCCCCACACCCCCCACCTACCCCCCGCACTACCTCCCCATCAACGTGCGTCACAGCGCGCCCGGCTTTGACCCCGGACACCAGGCAGCGGTGTGATTTTTCTCACTCTTTTGTCTTTTTTTTTAGAATAAAATGTCCCCGACAATCCTCCGAGCGAGGAAACGGTGCCGTCGCCCTCTCCCTCCCGCGGCTTTTTTTGCGGGGGGCGCGGGGTGGGGGCGGGGGAAGTGTGGGGGGGGGGTGACTGCTGAGCGCTACCGGCTGTCGCGTTCCGCGACCCGCTTTACCGTATGACCCGCGAAAAGTTTGGATGACGTCTCGACGACGTGATGAGGCGTTGCATGGAACGCAAGGATTATTATTGTTGTTATTGTTATGATTGTTATTAGTATTAGTGTTATTGTTATTGCTACAACGACGGCTCGGCTTTACACTGCGCCTTTCGCGTGCCCGGTTGTCTTGGAGCGCTTAACACGGCGGCGGAGTTGGACGACGAGCCAGGGAGAGGAAAGGGGGGCTGGGGGGGGTGGCCCTAGGCACGGTCAAAGAGGTCAAAGTCTTCGGGCCCGAGATGAAGACGGGCAAAGAGAGGGTAAGGGATGGGGTCGGGGGGGCAGGGGTGGGAGGGAGGGGTGGGGGGGGGGAGGGGTGGGGTGGGGCGGTGGGGTGGGGTGTGTTCAGGGCGGGAATTCTAGACAGTTGGGGCTCAGTAGCTGACAGCACAGCCACTGGTGGTGAAGTGAGAGACGTGTAGAAGGGCTGCGCCTGCCGTTCTCTCCCTATCGAGTCCCAATAGTAGAGACAGGTACTTCGGCGGTAGATGTATTGAACATTTTCAAGGCTGAGACTGATAGATTTTTTAAAAAAACAGAGGGATTAGGGGATATGGGGAGAGGGCAGGTAATTAGAGTCAGGTCAGAAGATCAGCCGTGATCTTATCGAATGGCGGGGCACAGGCTCGAGGGGCCGAATGGCCTACTCCTGCTGCTAATTCTTATGTTCTTATGTTCTTATGAACGGTACAGCTAAAGGGCAGAGCATTGCACCCAAATGTGTTTTGCACCATATCCAGACTTGTCTCTTGCCCAAACGTGACTCAAGCCGACCATCTGAAATTCTGCTTGAGTGCCGATATAGAGCTACGGTAACCGAATGGCTTGTGGTCCACTTTTGCGTGTCTCTCTCCCTCTCTCTCTGCTCTCTGCCTCGCACATTCATTGACAACCTCGGCATTGAATCCCTGGAATTCAGATTGTGACCGCAGGAGGAGGAGATTGGTGGATCTGGCTGGCCGTGCGGAGGTCGGGAGGGTTGGCTGGGGACATATCTGGGAGCTCGACGTTACTCTAGCACCAGTGTTTTACAGATCAATCAATGAATAATACAAATGACTCCCCAGTGTGAGGAACTGGAAGTGCACTAGGTCTCGCTGATCCGGGGGGGGACGGGAAAACTGTGCTCCAAAAGTCGATGGCTTGGGAGCCAAAGCGTAAACATCTATCAGTCTCCTTACTAAGGAGTGCCATGAGACATCACTGCACATAGGGCTGGGTCCGCTTTTAAAACAGTCTGCAAACGAAGAATCGGAGTAAACGCAGTCATTGTTAGACTGAAACCCTACACAAAGAGGCAACACGCCTGTGTGATGCCTTGTGCCGATGGACAGGGTTTGATTAGCCCGGTGGCCGGGGTTAAATCAGGACCTGTTTGTTTCTGACAACCCTGATCCTCGCTGAAGCAACCAAAGAGAAACGTGTTTCTTCAAACCTCAATGCGGGACGGATGGGGTGGGGGGTTGGGGGGGGGTGGGGGATGGAAGGGATGAACGAATGAGGCTGGTAAGAAAAGGAAGGTGCTGGTTAGAGAATGTTAAAAGGGAGCTCTCCGCCTGCAACAGAATGTGTGCACTGGTATGTGCAGTAACAGCAGCTACCCCATGCTGGGTATCAACTTGAGGGGTGGTGTGCTGACAAGGCTGCAGACTCCAGACTTCTGAGCCGCAATTATTACAGATGCACAGCACCAGCACGGAGTTGTGACTCGAACCCTCCCGCTGGTGTCCTCCAGACGCAGGAGTCCTGTAGGGATCAAAGGAGTCGATCGGGAGTCGGACCAGTGTGAAACCCCGCAAGCAGAGCGATATTGTGGAGTTTCCGTAGTGTTATTGGTAAGAGCAACTCGCCCCGTAAGCGAGAGGACCCGGGGTTTGATTCCCGGCAGGGCGTAACAGTGGCGAGTTTCCGTACTCCACACGCCCTCTGTTAAGCGAACAGCAAGTAGGAACCCGGTTGTTGGTCGACTGGCGGGTCGCTTTTCCGGGGGTTATTAAACCCCTTTTTAAAAAAGATTCGGTCACCAAACCCGCGAATGTTTGCGAAGAATTGGCCGCTACGTTTTGTCCACAACATATCCAGTCCATTCACTTCACGTGATTCATTTCACAGTGTATTTTATTTGCTCTGGAGTGCGGTTCCCACCGCATTCGTTTTATCGTGAACTCCCCCACCCCCACCACTTGCAAACCTGGTAATCGGTGGCTTGGAAAAAAGCTGAGAATGCCCGGAACAGGTGGCACTTTTCCAGTTACCTGCACTTGCAAAGTAGAGCTTAATGGGAAAAGATAACACCGAGGCATCCAGCGGAGGTGCAGCGCACCATCACAGCTGAGGAGGCACGTTTTTCACATGACTAATGTTATCGGTTGCCAAACAGCTTTTCGCAGGCCGGAGAAGTTAAATATTTTGCAGAATAAGTAATGGAAAACCTGCGTTCTGCGATAGACTGGGCCTCTTTAAAACAGATTCCTACATAGTTCAATGTATTCTTAAGAGGTTTGCCATAACTCTGAACAGTTTCAACATTTATTATAATAGGGCTATGGAGGAGAGCGTGCAGAGGCTGACAGCTGTAAGCGGTGGTCAGCTCAGCCTCCTTTATGTGAAATCAAATAAAAACATTAAAAGCTCTAGACACTGTTGTCCGCAAGTGGCTGCCACAAAATAAACAGTCGATTCGCTTTACAGTATAGTCTGTGAAGCTCTTTGAGCTATTTCGAAGATGTGATAAGGTGCTGTAGAAAATGCAAGGATTATTATTATTAATTATTATTATTATTTAGTACAGAGTAGAGGCTACGGCTCCCGTTGATACACGTTTTGCTAATGATTATTGAAGCTACTTTTTGAGGTTTCTCCTCTGACTGTTGGGAATTGCCGACATGTTAGAACGTTCGATGCCCCTAATGTAAATTGCAAACCACTAGCCAGTCAGAGACTTCGCAGAAGATTTTATTAGTGCCATTAAAAGCGGCATGAGCTCAGCGATAGATAAGAACCTGATATCCCATGCGATCAAAACCGCACCGTACCCAGCCACAGTATCTGGCAGCACACAATGCATCTCTACCTACTTATTTCTGCCATGTTGCAGAAAATGGTGAAGCCTTCATTTCAGGATCGCAGCCCTGGGAGACTCATTTGCCTGCAAGATGTCATCGGTGACAGCACGAATGCACAAGGACATTCTGTATTACATCCAGGTTGATTGTCCATTTGCAGATCAACATCCCTTTTTGTGACTTCATCATTAAGTTTGCTCTTTCCAAGAGCCAGCCCAGATACGATGGGCCAAGTGGCCATCTTTTATACTTCCGCAGTCCTTTGGGTTCTGTTTCGATTCTATCTGCCTTGTGGTTCAGACGCTGCTACTACCTCAAAGAAATGTTGAGA